TATTTATAACCGGAGAATTTCACGGGAGAAGTTTCCACTCTGGATTTTTGTATTTTTAAAAAAAACTCTTCCCTGCTTCCACTTCTGCGCTTTTCCAGAATTAATCCCATTTTCCAACCCGGCCAAACTCGCCCTTCCTGCCTAATTTTTCCCCAAAAATTCAGATTTTCTGCGCCACTCCTTGAGTTTCCCTAATTCTTTTTTAAAATCTGTTTCACGAGCAGTTTCTGATTTCATTCCTGAATCCAGGCGGGTCTCCCAGCTCGCCTTAAAGCGCCTCAGAAAAGGTGAAAAAAGAGAAAAAAGGGATAAAAATAAACTCCTGAAGGTACGGGACGCTCGGGAGGAGCGAGAATAATTCGCTTTTTTGGATCTCCGTGCGAGGTTTGGGGTGGAACCTCTCGGGTTTTGCTCTTCGCTGTGAGGATCCTTCCGGGCTGAAATTTATTTTATTTATTTATTTAGAATTACGCACTTGCACTGCCACGCTCCAGTTATTTATAGCTGCGCGCCAGGATGATTTTTATTATTACTATTATTATTACTATTATTACTATTATTATTAGTTTTATTATTTTTATTATTTTTATTTTTATTTTTACTTTTACTTTTACTTTTATTTTTATTTTATTTTATTTTTATTATTTTTATTTGGTTTATTATTTTTATTATTTTTAATTATTTTTATTATTTTTACTATTTTTACTATTTTTATTATTTTATTATTTTTATTATTTTTATTATTTTTATTTATTTCTTTATTTTTTCCCCGCCAGGAGTGGATTTATCACAGGTGAGGGGCGGCCGAGCACAGAGCAGGTGTTCCGCTTCCATTTACCTCCAATAATTCCATTTTTCTCCTTATCCGACAGCGGCGCGGGGCTGTTCATCCATCAGCTGGATAAACACGATTTAAATCTTAAATCGGCTTTTTTTTCTTTTTTTTTCTTTTTTTTCCATTTTTTTCCTTTTTTTTCTTTTTTTTTTTTTTTTTTTTTTTTTTTTTTTTTTTTTTTTCCCCGGGCGTTGGCGGAGCTCGCCCCGAATCTTTTTGTGGAGCCGCCTGCTCTGATTATTTGATTTTTTTTTAAATAAAAGAATAATTTTGAGGGGCAATAAAGGCGAGAAATACGACAGCGAGAGCCGCCCGCTCGTATTTCACGGCCGCTGACGCGCGGGGATTTCCTCTTCCCTCCGCTGCTCCTCGGGGAGTTTAGAAATGGAACGGGGAAAATAATAGTTAAAAAATATAATATAAAATTTTAAAAATATAATATTAAAAAAAAAATCAGATAGAAACGCGAAAATTGGGAAAATCGGGGATTTCTCCCGGAGGGGAGCGAGCAGCGATCCCACCCCACGGATTTTGGGATTTATTTGGGATTTATTTGGGGATTTATTTGGGATTTATTTGGGGATTTATTTGGTATTTATTTTGGATTTATTTGGGGTTTATTTTGGGATTTTTTGGGATTTTTTTGGGATTTATTTGGGGATTTATTTTGGATTTATTTGGGGATTTAATTTGGGATTAATTTGGGATTTACTTTGGGATTTATTTGGGGATTTATTTGGGGATAACCCCCTGGAAAGGAGAGGGGACCCTCGCCTGGGACCCCAAAATGTCCCAAAGTGTCCCCAAAATGCCCCAAAATGCCCCAGAGTGTCCCCAGAGTGTCCCCACACCTCAGCTGCCAAAAACGAGATTAAAATCCCATTTCTGCCGTCCCCAATGCCCCGAAGCTCCGGGTTAATTTTGGTTTTTAATCACACGAGCCCCAAAATCTCCTTTTTTTGAGGAAATCCGGGCAGGGGAAGCGCCCCGGCCTTGGGGTGGGGTTTAACGGCCTTCATCACCACCATCACCATCATCAGCATCATCTTCATCTTCATCACCACCATCATCACCACCATCACCAGCATCAGCATCACCTTCATCATCTTCATCTTCATCATCTTCATCATCTTCATCATCTTCATCATCTTCATCTTCATCATCACCACCATCACCATCTTCAGAATCATCTTCATCTTCATCATCTTCATCATCAGCACCATCATCTTCATCTTCATCATCACCATCATCACCATCATCTTCATCACCATCATCTTCATCACCTTCATCATCAGCTCGGGCAGCGATTCTGGCTCCGCAGGGCCGGGAAAGGCCAAAATCCCTTTTTTCCCCTCATTTTATTTTATTTTATTTTATTTTATTTTATTTTATTTTATTTTATTTTATTTTATTTTATTTTATTTTATTTTATTTTATTTTATTTTATTTCATTTTTATTTCATTTTATTTTACTTTTTACATTTATTTATTTATTTTATATATTTTATTTTATTTCATTTATTTTATTTTATTTTATTTTATTTTATTTTATTTTATTTACTTTATTTATTTATTAGTTATTTTATTTTATTTTACTTTATTTATTTATTTATTTATAATTATTTTATCTTATTTTTACCTCACTTTTTATTTATTTATTTATTA